TTCCGTTGTGTGTAATATCCCTGTAAGAGATTCAGTCACATATCTTGGTGTTCATATCACTAAAGATAGAAAAGCCAGAGGTAAATTAAACTTTTCTCCCCTCATTGAAAAAACTCAAACGGTTTTCAATCGATGGTTACAAAGAGATCTTTCTCTGAAAGGCAGAGCTCTAATCACCAAGGCGGAAGGTATTTCTCGTTTAACCTATGCTGCTCAGTCATTACATGTAGATAACTCCTTTTGTAAATCTGTCGATAAGATGCTATTTAATTTTTTATGGAAAAATAAAACTCACTATATTCGTAAGTCTGTAGTTCTGAATTCTTACAACAAAGGGGGCTTAAATTTCATAGACTTTAGCTCTCTCAACAACACATTCAAAATAAATTGGATCAAGCAATATCTCAAAAACCCTACTTCCATCTGGAATTTTATTTCTCATTATGTCTTTTCACAGTTAGGCGGCCTAAAATTTATTCTGCTCTGTAACTATAAAATACAAAAACTCCCAGTTAAACTCTCCAATTTCCACCAACAGGCTCTTTTGGCGTGGGCTTTGCTGTACAAGCATAACTTCTCTCCACAGAGGTGTTTTATATGGAACAATTCTAATATTGTTTATAAGAACAAGTCGCTTTTTTACGATAATTGGTTCAATAACGGTATTTTATTAGTCAGTCAACTCTTTAATAAGAATGGTCTACTATTCAGTTATTCAGAATTTCTTGCCAAATATAAGATTCCAGTAAGCCCAAGAGAATTTTCAATAGTTTTTGATGCTGTGCCCTCGGGTCTTCATATGTTATTTAGGTCTTGTGATATCTCTCCGCCTTTATCAGTGTCACCTCCAGATCCAACACAGATTCCGTTAGGTAAAGTCTGTTTCTCTACCTATAAAGCTTCAAATTCCAAAATTAGATTTTTGTTTCAGGCGGACCTAGTCTCTATTTCTTCTGCTTCCTTCTATTGGAATAATTTTGACCTTAACTTAGACTGGGGAAAAGTCTGGTCCCTACCCCAGAAGCTTCTTTTAACTAATAAAATTAAAGAAGTTTCATTCAAGTTACTACACAGGTTTTACCCCACAAATGTTTGCTTAAATAAGTTTAAGAATGACATTGATATAAAATGCTCCTTTTGTGGTTTACATCCTGAAACTATATCACATTTATTTTGGTCTTGTGAATTCACTTATAAGTTCTGGAAAGACTTAAATTCATTTATAGTTGAAAATATTCTTCCTGAGTTCTCCCTGTACTACAAAAATGTAATTTTTGGTTGCTTTAATAACTGTGGGAAGGACAGTAGTGCACTCTTTCTAGTAAACCTAATCTTATTCGTTGCCAAATTCCATATCCATAAGTGTAAATTCAGTAATAAAAAGCCTCTTTTTTCTGTGCTAAAAGCTGAAATGGAACAGTATATTTCTACTATCTCTTCTATGCAAAACAAAAAAGCTGTTAAAACTGTGGTTATTTGTTCTACTTTTAATGTGTTTATGTGATTAAATGTTTTTATTTTTTTATTATTATTTATTTATTTATTTTATTTTTTCTTTTTTACTTTAACTGTACTGTGGATTATTTTTTGACATTTTTTATTATTTTTTTTTTAATTTTTTGCTTCTTTGATTGTAATGCTCTTTACGTTTAAAAAAAAAAAAAAAAAAAAAAAAAAAAAAAAAAAAAAAAAAAAGAAAAAAAAAAAAAAACTGTGTTAGTCAAACACGTCGCGTCTAGTTAGACGCTTGAATCTTCCGCAGCCCGCTCAAGTTAAAAATGTTCTACTAAGAAAGACGTTCGCGGCAAACGAGTCACCCAATTCGCGACGCCCGGCGCGAATGATGCGTCTTCGCGTCTTTGCATTGATTATGAATGTACTCTGCTATCGCAATTAAATTCGCGTTCGGTGTGAACACACCATTAATGCATATACGAGCCAACATCATGGTTATATATTTTGAAAAAACACAAAGCTACTCGCGTGCAAAACACTTATTTTATTCGTTAACATGTAGACAACAAATGTTTGCATTCGTAAGAAACGTTTCTAATTGTTGATGCAAAATTTGTAGCAATTCTGAAATTCAGTTAAAAGTAAATTTTTTGACCAAAAATGCAATAAATGATCATGTGTAGGCCTAAGTACAAAAAATAAGCTTACCGCTTCTCAACGTCTTCACATGTGTTTCATAATTTTTTTGTCTGGATAGGCATCACGGGAAATTGCATAGCCTATATCACGTGGCTCATACAGTTACTTAAAATGATATCGATTTACTTAATTTTTATGCAATTATTGTTGACATGCATTATGTTTTTTTTTTATTATTTTATTTATGCATACATTTAAGTGCACCTAGTAACTTATATTTTTTTTGTTACACACATATGTTAAGTAAACGTTGAAAAGTTAGGAATACTTCATTTTTTATGTTTGATCCAATTACTTTTATAAGTCCTATTGGTTGTTCGGCTGCTTCAAGATCATAAGCTTTCGAATCAGTACTGTGATGTCATACAACAATCGTATGTACTCTGGACAGTGCTGCTTCAAGATCATACTGTATGCTTTCGAATCAGGACTGTGATGTCATAAACCAATCGTCTGTAAGGGAGACCGGGGGCAATTGTAACGTATTTTACATTTTCCTTAATAACTCACAAACTACTTGAGATATCTTTTGATACAAGAAACATATATATGTGCACTAATTAATAATACAATTTATATATTTTCACTTATAAGAACAAGACTAAAATATTTAATTAAATGCAGTGTGGGGGCAATTGTAACACTGAGAAATAACTCCTATTAACCCACTTTATCTCAAATAAAAGCATACCTCAAAGTAATCACGTTACTGCTGTTAATTTTAAGAGTTTATATAATATTCCCACTTTGTCAAGCACATATAAAACACACATTATTTTATATAAAAAATGTTAATTGATGATTTGTTAATACTGGAACAAACATTTATTTTAATACACCCTTTTAAAATGAAGTTTTACAATAGAATTTAGTGAAATATGTTCATTTTTTTTTTTTTTACAGAAAAGTATGTCAACACACACAAACAAGCTTATTACAATGGACCTTGTGGCTCGGGGGCAACTGTAACACAGTGTTACAGTGTTGTTCATGTTCGTTTTTAATCAATAACCTAGGGATAAAATGTATACAAGTTTAAATTGACAGACATCTAAACTTTAGACAGCAGAAGAAAAATACTGTACATCCAAAAAATAACTTTCACACCTCAAAATCAGTTTGTCGTTAATAACTTCTGCTAAAGTTGAAAATGTCACGCTTCTTTTCCACAGATAGAGAGAGAATCCTATTGGGCATGGACAGATTAAGTGTCATCAGTCTAGCTTGTTTCTGATTGGAGGAATTGAGTGTGTTACAATTGCCCCCTGTGACAAACATAGGCCGACAATTGCCCCCGGTCTCCCCTAATATTGTTTTTTATGACAGTGCTGCCTAACACAATTTAAGACCGAAACAATAATGTGAAAAGTTAATAAGAGGCTTAAATCATTAACAAAAAGATCACGTTTAAACAACATCAGAGCTGGAGCTGGAAGACTACGTGTAAAGTGACACTGATTTCTGTAATAGAACAATATCAGATTAATTCAGTTTCTTCTTCATATGTGGCCTCATTCATCTCCAGATCTGGTTTCTCTGCACAGTCTCCAGTCTGAACTAAAGGATTGGAAATGCTACTGTGCCATCTAGTGGAAAAAGATGAAAAAAGCAGTTAATCTACTGTTTACTGTGCTAAATATAAGTTACAGTTAACTCTGGATATGCATGAACTATATGTAATTTTCCATTTGTGAAACTACAAAAGAACATTTATTAGTTTTATAGCCTGCATCTCATGAGGCAAGGACAAAGCTGTGGCTTTTTCTTGTGCAAATATTTTCAGTTCTAAAAAACTTTAATTGAAGTAAAATAGGCTACTAATTCAATCACATTTGAATGCATTATAAAATGGTTTATAATGCCTTTAATTCTATTGACTGCAAGTTACACTCCTGTAAGTTAATTCAGTGAATGGCATTTAGTTATAAACTCACAAATTTGACAGATAATCTCTTGCTGTGTGTGTGTGTGTGTGTGTGTGTGTGTAGCATGTACAGAGTGAACAGCAGTGATCCTAGTACTGAGTCTTGCGGTATGCCATACTGAACTTGTGATCGATAAGACATCTCTTCGTTTACTGCTACAAACTGACGGTCAGATAAGTATGATTTAAACCATGCTAATGCAATTCCACTAATGCCAACATTATTTTTGAGTCTATTTAAAAGAATGTTGTGATCAACTGTGTCAAATGCAGCATCAAGATCAAGTAACACTAGAGATACAACCACGATCGGATGATAAGAGCAAATCATTTTCTCCCTGATATTATGGATCTTATGGATCTAAAGTCATTACTGCTGTGCTGCTTGGAAACTTCTGGACTTGAAACTTTATTTTTCGTTAGTTTAGCAACTTTTTCAAATAAATACAAAGGGTTTTGGTTCTTTTCTTTTAATAGGTTTGAAAAATAAGCAGATCTAGCTGTTTTTAAGGCCTCTCTGTATGCAGTCGAGCTCTCCTTCCATGAAATCCACAATACCTCTAGTTTAGTTTTCTTCCAGTTGCACTCCTTTTTACTGGCTGTGACAACTAACCACACACACACACACACACACACACACACAGCAACTTTACTCTATTTACCCGACAGCTTTAAAATACTATATTTATGGAATTAAAATATGACCAAAATGTCCTTAATTAGTAGCTGAAATAAAGAGACGATTTACAATATCTGCATTAACCAACACCATAAGTGGAAACTGATTTCACACACTTTCAACCAGAGTATAAACATTCGTTTTCTGTCTAATCTATAGTTAAACTGTTTCACCCAACATTAATCCTCTTGATCCGAGGTCAGGTACCGTGGTAAACGCAGGGGGTTAGTCAGCAGACAGTCAGATGGAGTGTGTGAGCTGAACCCGTGACGGTCATGAGTACTTCTCAAGGGCTTTCGGAGCCGCTCTGAATGACACACACACACACACGCTCTCTCAAACAGCAGACGCTCTCAGGAATCACAGCATCAGTTCAGGTAAGATCCCTTTCTCTTCCATCACTGCAAAAAATGCTTTTCTTAATATTTGTGTAAATGATGCAATTTTAATCCTATTTAAAGTAAAATGACATAAGGAATTCTCTTGTTAAAAATGTAATTACACAAGTAATGTGAATAAATGTAATGCTTAAAACAAGCTAAAGTATTTGCCAATGGGGTATTTGCCAATGAAAATCTTATTTCAAATGGAAAACGATTATTTTTCTGACCCCATTGACAGATAATTTGACTTGTTTAAGCAAAAACTAAATTTTCATTTGTATTATTTATCAGGAAACAACACTGAATTTCATACGTCCTTTTATTCATCTAAATGCGTCTTGATTTAAGTATTTTTAGATAGATGGACTGGAAACAAGATGAACATACTAAGAACAGCATTATTTGCGGTGTACGAAACCCATTTCAGTACATTTGCTGCATAGATTTAATTTAATTCAATTCAGATGTTTCTTTCCACTTAATGTTTATTTGTCAGATTTACAGCATGTAATGTGAATTCAAAAAAATTTCCTAACATGTCCAGATTATAATATAACTCAAATATAAGAAAATATATTTTGCATTTAAAAAAATTAACTCTATTAGGACCATAAATAATGTTTTACATTGAGACAATTAAAATATTTTTTTCATTACTGTAATGTAAAAATATGTTATTTCGATTGTAATGTAGTTTGTTGTACGTACTTAAATTTATCATCAAAATATATTTGTACTGAAAAAATAACTATTGCAGTAATGAGAATCAAATACCAATCAAGAATAAAATTCGAAAGTTAAACATCAGTAAATGAGAATATAGAGGTCAAATTTAATAATTACACAATAAAATAAATATTCATGGAAATGTAAACATGCTTTAATGTCGGGCAAAATATAATTATTTTGACTTTTGGGGTGAGTTAGACCTGGCCGTGTTTTCCTGAGACTGATCTCTGCATTTATGAATTCATATCTCACTCTATCTTGTATATATTGATGATGAAGGACTGCAGTGTTTGTCATATTTAAGTGTTTATGATCATCATTTTTCAGTGGTTACTGATCATGTCTTACGGTGGATCAGGTTCAGTGTCTCGAGGAGAATTCAGTGTTCATTTCTCCAGCAGAAAAGGAGCAGGATTTATCAGAGCTGAAGAGTGAGAGAAGACGACACACACACACACACACCTGGGGAAACTAGATATGCTTCATCTATAACGTGAGTGTGTGTATATGTGTGTGTGTAGGGCTGCAGGAATCGCATTACTGGCAGTGATCCTCACAGCGCTGCTCATTATGGGATGCTGGTTCTACCGGCGACGGGGCGGGTACAAGATGATCCGGGTGAGTCATGTGACGCACAGGAGGGTCAGGTGATCACGCAGTTACAATGATGTCATAATGAGATGTTAATATTCATAAAGCTAAAATAGTAGATAGTGATGGTCATGGGTTTGTCATGATATTATATTCTTTAATTGGGGCAAAACGCATGAAATCATTTTTAGACAGTAGTGATAAGATGCTGTGGGGTTTCCAGAAGTCCAGCTGTGATGATAGTGGGATTGGATCCTGTGACTCTTACCTCTCGGGTCACGATGTGTGTGCGTTTCAGAATGTCAGTGGTCAGTCGTGGAGAGAGATGATGAGGACGGGTCAGCACAGTGAGTCTGGATCTGGAGAGGAGAACAAAGTGGCCCTGAACGAACTCCGCAACCTGCGACCAGCGGTACAACACACACACGTACACGCGCACACACTCACTCAGTCACTCACTCGCTCACATACACACACTCAACACACACTTACTCTCTCACACACACTCACTCACTCTTACATCGGTTTTTCTGCCCTTCAGTGGTTCCTTCTACAAATCAGTGTTTTTTTTCTTTCTGCCACATTTAGTTTCAGAGAATAAGACTAACCAAGCTCTTATTACCCAGAATTCCAGAGGGGATAAAGGAGGCATGTGACCCGCTGAAGGGCAGAAAGACCTTTAGTTGGCATCATTCCTCGTGATGTGGGGATTACAAACAACTAATATGTGTGTGCGTGTTTGAGTTTGTATGTGTGTGAGTGAGCGAGTGTGTGCAAGCGCGTGTGTGAGAGTGAATGTTTGATTGTATGTGTGTGTGTATATATGTGTGTGTAAGGGTGTGTGTGTGTATGTTTGTGTGAGTATGTGTGTTTATGTATGTGCATGTCTGTGAGTGTGTATATGTATGTGCGTGTGTGTGAGTGTGTATGTTTATGGGTGTGTATGTGCATGTGTGTTAATGTGTATGTGTGGGTATGCGAGTATGTAAATGCATGTGTGTGAGTGTGTATGTGTGTGCATGTATGTGCATGTGTGTGTAAGAGAGGGTGTGTGTGTGTGAGTGTTGTGTGCATGTGTGTGTGTGTGTGTGTGTGAATGAGTGTATGTGTGTGTGTATATGTATGTGCATGTGTGTGAGTGTGTACATGTATGAGGATGCGTGTGTGTATAAACTACAGAAACAGACTCATTTACTTGCAGAACTACAGACACACACTCACTTACCTGCAGAACTACAGACACTCATTTACCTGCGGAACTACAGACACACACTCATTTACCTGCAGAACTACAGACACACTAATTTACCTGCAGAACTACAGACACACACTCATTTACCTGCAGAACTACAGACACACACTCATTTACCTGCAGAACTACAGACACAAACTCATTTACCTGCAGAACTACAGACACACACTCATTTACCTGCAGAACTACAGACACAAACTCATTTACCTGCAGAACTACAGACACACACTCATTTACCTGCAGAACTACAGACACAAACTCATTTACCTGCGGAACTACAGACACACACTCATTTACCTGCAGAACTACAGACACACTAATTTACCTGCAGAACTACAGACACACACTCATTTACCTGCAGAACTACAGACACAAACTCATTTACCTGCAGAACTACAGACACACACTCATTTACATGTGGAACTACAGACACAAACTCATTTACCTGCAGAACTACAGACACACACTCATTTACCTGTGGAACTACAGACACAAACTCATTTACCTGCAGAACTACAGACATACTCATTTACCTGCAGAACTAGACACACTCATTTACCTGCAGAACTACAGACACACACTCATTTACCTGTGGAACTACAGACACAAACTCATTTACCTGCAGAACTACAGAAACACACTCATTTACCTGCAGAACTACACACACACACACACACACACACACACACACACACACACACACAAACCAGGATAACTACAGACACACTCATTTACCCGCAGAACTACAGACACACTCATTTACCTGCAGAACTACAGACACACACTCACTTACCTGCAGAACTACAGACACACACTCATTTACCTGCAGAACTACAGACACACACTCATTTACCTGCAGAACTACAGACACACACTCATTTACATGCAGAACTACAGACGCACACTCATTTACCTGTAGAACTACAGACACACACTCATTTACCTGCAGAACTACACACACACACACACACACCAGGATAACTACAGACACACACTCATTTACCCGCAGAACTACAGACACACTCATTTACCCGCAGAACTACAGACACACTCATTTACCCGCAGAACTACAGACACACTCATTTACCTGCAGAACTACAGACACACACTCACTTACCTGCAGAACTACAGGCACACACTCATTTACCCGCAGAACTACAGACACACTCATTTACCTGCAGAACTACAGACACACACACACACACACACACCAGGATAACTACAGACACACACTCATTTACCCGCAGAACTACAGACACACTCATTTACCCGCAGAACTACAGACACACTCATTTACCCGCAGAACTACAGACACACTCATTTACCCGCAGAACTACAGACACACTCATTTACCTGCAGAACTACAGACACACACTCACTTACCTGCAGAACTACAGGCACACACTCATTTACCTGCAGAACTACAGACACACACTCACTTACCTGCAGAACTACAGACACACTCATTTACCTGCGGAACTACAGACACACTCATTTACCTGCAGAACTACAGACACACTCATTTACCTGCAGAACTACAGAGACACACTCATTTACATGCAGAACTACAGACACACTCATTTACCTGCAGAACTACAGACACACACTCACTTACCTGCAGAACTACAGACACACTCATTTACCTGCAGAACTACAGACGCACACTCATTTACCTGCAGAACTACAGACACACTCATTTACCTGCGGAACTACAGACACACTCATTTACCTGCAGAACTACAGACACACTCATTTACCTGCAGAACTACAGACGCACACTCATTTACCTGCAGAACTACAGACACACTCATTTACCTGTAGAACTACAGACACACACTCATTTACCTGCAGAACTACACACACACACACACACACACACCAGGATAACTACAGACACACACTCATTTATCTGCAGAACTACAGACACACTCATTTACCTGCAGAACTACAGACATACTCATTTACCTGCAGAACTAGACACACTCATTTACCTGCAGAACTACAGACACGCACTCATTTACCTGCAGAACTACAGACACACACTCATTTACCTGCAGAACTACAGACACGCACTCATTTACATGCAGAACTACAGACACACACTCATTTACATGCAGAACTACAGACACACACTCATTTACCTGCAGAACTACAGACACACTCATTTACCTGCAGAACTACAGACACAAACTCATTTACATGCAGAACTACAGACACACACTCATTTACCTGCAGAACTACAGACACACTCATTTACCTGCAGAACTACAGACACACACTCATTTACCTGCAGAACTACAGACACACACTCATTTACCTGCAGAACTACAGACACACACTCATTTACCCGCAGAACTACAGACACAAACTCATTTACCTGCAGAACTACATACACACACTCATTTACCTGCAGAACTACACACACACACACACACACACACTTACCAGGATAACTACAGACACACTCATTTACCCGCAGAACTACAGACACACTCATTTACCCGCAGAACTACAGACACAAACTCATTTACCTGCAGAACTACAGACACACACTCATTTACCTGCAGAACTACATACACACACTCATTTACCTGCAGAACTACAGACACACACTCATTTACCTGCAGAACTACATACACACACTCATTTACCTGCAGAACTACACACACACACACACACACACACACACTTACCAGGATAACTACAGACACACTCATTTACCCGCAGAACTACAGACACACTCATTTACCCGCAGAACTACAGACACACTCATTTACCTGTAGAACTACAGACACACTCATTTACCTGCAGAATTACAGACACACTCATTTACCTGCAGAATTACAGACACACACTCATTTACCTGCAGAACCACACACACACACACACACACACACACACACACACACACACACTTACCAGGAGAACTACAGACGCACATTCATTTACCTGCAGAACTACAGACACTTAGTTTCCATCCAGTAGAACAGACACACACTCATTTACCTGCAGAACTACAGACACACACTCATATTCATTTACCTGCAGAGCTACAGACACACACACACACACATACACACACACACTCATTTACCTGCAGAACTACACACACTCATTTACCTGCAGAACTAGACACACAATCATTTACCAGAAGTAGACACAGACACATTTACCTGCAGAACCACACACACACACAAATTTACCTGCAGAACTACAGACACACACACACACACACACACATATATTTGCCTGCAGAACTACAGACACACACTCATTTGCCTGCAGAACTACAGACACACTTATTTACCAGAACCACACACACACACTCATTTACCTGCAGAACTATAGACACACTCATTTACCACCCATGACACACATTTAACATTCACTGAACTCTTCCATTGCACAAACGTTTCTTGACAGTGGGAACTTTATTAAAATGTTCGGTAACGCTTCCTTTTATAGTCCAGTTACCCATGTAAATACTATGTACTTATTTAGTAACTACAATTACTGGGTAATAACTATTACTAACCCTGAACCTACCCCTGTTCCATGTACTTACCTTATGTTAGCCAGTACTTTCTAGGTACTGTAAGTACACTTTAAGTACTGTACTGTAAAATGAAGCGTTACCAAATGTTCTTGGTCAGACCTGCTCACTGAGGCTCTCCATCATCTGTTTGCACGTCCCTCTGGACGGAAGCTCCTGATGATGTTTGTAGTTTCATGCGTTGCTCTTCTTCATGATAGTTTACTTACAGATGCTGCTGTCTCTCCTCCAGATTCCCAACGCTCCTCCAGCGTACGAGAAGCTCGTCTCAGGGCCGTCTCCTCCTCCTTACTCCCCATGAGGAGCTTGATTGCTGGAGAGTTTAAGGGCAGGATGAACAGAAGCATCGCTCAACCCCTGATCCTGAGGATTCACAGCAGAGCTCAAGGACTGAAGAATCTCTCGCACCAAAGCGCCTTTTAACAGAATATCAATGGTCAGACTTGAAGCTAATGAGTTTAAATAAAGCATTTAAATAAAGTTCTAGTTTAGTTCAAGGTATAAATTGTTTAAATGCCAGATTTTGCAAGTTTATTTCTGCACACATTCACGTTACTGATGATTTTAAACTAATCTTTTTCAAACATATGCACTTCTTTCCAAATGGATAATTGTAAGTTAACAACCGAAATGAAACTTGTACCTTCATATTCCTCGCCTTTCCCAGAAAAGCCAAGTTTCTATGAAGAGATGCTGAGCTTCTTAAAAAGTGAACGGGCATCACTGTTCAATGCAACGCAATTAAACAATTCATGTAAAGAACAAAGACTGCATTTGTTTTCATGCATTTGTTTTTCCAAGTAAAAAAAATAAAGGAACTACATGGGGTTTGAGAGCTGATGAAAAGCTATTAAATAAATCAGAAAACTAAAATGTAATTTTAATAGTGCTGGACAACAATTAATCGAATCCAAAACCAAAGTTAAAGAAATATTTGCATGTGGATACTATATATATATATATATATGTGTGTGTGTGTATATATCATTTATAATATAAATAAATAACACATTTTTTTCTTAAATATATACATGCATTTGTGTGTATTTATATACAAAATAATTATACGTTCAGGTGAAACTCGAAAAATTTGAATATTGTGCAAAAATTAATTTATTTCAGTAATTCAACTTAAAAGGTGAAACTAATATAGTATATAGATTCATTACATGCTAAGTGAGATATTTCAAGCCTTTATTTGTTATAATGATGATTATGGCTTACAGATATGAAAACCTTTTCACAATTAGGGCTGCAACTAACGATTATTTTGATAATCGATTAATCGGACGATTATTTTTTCGATTAATCGATTAATCGGATAAAAAATTTATTTCATTTTTTTGTTTATTATAACTAAATAAAACCCTAAAAACCACACTCTTTTGTGTGTTAAACAATCTTCTTAATACAGACAAGTTCATTATATAGAAAAACAACAAATAAAAAAAATATATGACCATAACCTATGACAAAAATGCTATTGTAAACTAGATTAGTGGATAACTCAGAAAAACTTAGCCTAGATAGAAAAATCACAAGTGCACAATAATTTTATAAAATCTGAACATTTAGTGAAAAAAAACATTCCTTAGTGGGGAAAAAATAAGAGACAATAAGTGTAGCACTATCTCTGGTAAAACTATCTCTTTGTATTGTTGTTGTACATTCATGAAAAACATCGTAAAAATCAGATGCACAGCTGTTTAGTGAGGAAGCAATATTGACTGTGTATTATACAGTATCTTTGCAATAGTTTATTAAGCCTTTTCTTTTAACAGTTTTAAATTTCAGTTAGGCTACTGTGCACGTGAAGAACAATTATACTGCGCCGACTCTACTCTAGTGTTGTGATCTAACAGACACTCAGTAGAAAGTGATTAAGTTACAGCAATAAAAGTCTAGCAAGATAGTCATTATATTACGAAACCATAGACCTTTATCTACGGATCAATTATAATAATAACATTGAATCATTTTGGAAAGAGTTTCATCATGTTAACTGTTGTAACGCGACGCGCTGTTTGAACACCGAATAGAGAATGACTGACAGCCGCAGTGGAGGGAAAAGCTTACGTTAACTTTAATTTAATTACTTAAATATACATTTCTTTCTCACATTATACTACAGTATGGCTTCATAAAGTATACACGATTAACGCAGGTCACCTATTTTGGTTTCAAAACGGCGAATTTGCCGAAAGGTGAATGATTTTCGTGTATGCTGCATATTGATAGCGGTTTCCTGATGCCCGCAAATTAGTTCAAACTCACGGAATCAAGAGTGCGCATGCGAGACAGAAGATAATGTGCTCCAAACCGTCCGTGTTGCGCACAGACCGGCGAGGGAGAGAGACTGCGTGTGTGCCTAATGAAGCGTATGTAAGAAGCGCATGTAAGAAGCTCATGTAGCATGTAAACAATCCCGGTGACGTAATCAGACCAACTAATCGATAATGACATTCGTTGACAACGATTTTCATAATCGATTATAATCGATTTTATCGATTAGTTGTTGCAGCCCTATTCACAATATTCTAATTTTGAATTTGGGGTTTTCATAAGCTGTAAGCCATAATTATGTAAACACAAACTTTGATTTTGGATGCGATTAATCGTTGCCCAGAACTACATTTTAAATGAAAACAGTCTGGAATCTTCTAATTGTTTAATGGACTCAAAGGACGGGCACAGCACACCAATGTTTTTACTTCAGTCATAAATATATGCCAAGTTTATTGTCATGAATATAGAGGAAACACAAAACCAAACTTTTGTCAGATAACATCTGATAGTACTCAACCTATGCCTGAATGCACTACTACTGCCAGACATACTCTTAAGTAGACTGAAGACTGTTCTACAGAATAATATTAATCATTTAATGGAAAATGCTACAAAACATTCAAACCTTTGCATACAAATGGAGTAGAAAAGAGTCAGCCAAACAAATACTGTTATGTACATTACTGGCCATTCAAAATCTCCAAATTTCTCTTGGTGAAACCAACTCTAAGCATAACCAATTGTCCCTCAATGTGTATTGTAAAGGGCAAAATGCACAAAATATTATATATAATGCACTAAATATTATATAATATTTAGTTTAAACTCCAACATTGGGGGAAAAGGAACCAAAGGAAGCCTGCACAATCCCAACTTATTCGAATCAATGAACAGACTCACTGCAAAAAATGCTTTTCTTACTTTGTCTTGTTTCCAGTCAAAGTATATAAAAATTCTTAAATCAAGATGTATTTACTAGATAAGGAAAATCACATATGATATTATGTCTTGTTTTATGGGCAAATAATTCAAAATTAAGTGAGTTTTTGCTTAAAACAACCAAATTTATCTACCAATGGGGTAAGAAAAATAATTGTAATTCAAACAGAAACAATTATTTTTCTCTTTATTTGGCAGACAACTCTTAATTTGTATTTATTTGCCCAGAAAACAAGACATAATATCTTATGGTATTTTACTCATCTAGTAAATGCATCGTGATTTAAGAATTTTTAGATATTTGGACTGGAAACAAGACAAAAATACTAAGTAAGAAAAGCATCCTCCATAATCACAACCGGAAACAACAGATGACCTCCACAGTGACTTCAGTGATTCGATCTCTCCAATGCATCTGGTTTTCTCATTGGATCATTTGTGTTTAAAGTAGGTACAGTAACACTACTCGAGGAGGAACTAACCACTGGCTTTGCCAACACTTGTATGCTTGAAGCTTGAACTATATTTAAAATGGCACCATCTGGACTCAACAGCAGTTTGCTAGGGCTGGGAACCATGTTTTGACCTTGTAGTGGATGGGGTGAAATAGCAGATTTTCCGATTGTCCCGGGTCTGATAGGTGTCATTATCACTGAGTTCATATACGGAGGAACACTTGCAATAGGAGTGGCTGGACTGGCGTTGGTTGCACCGCCGATTGGTGGAACCATTGCAACAGGAAGTTTCTGCATCCGTGATATCGTGCTGTTAATGGGTGGAGCATTTACCAATGGTGAATGATGTGCAACTGAAGTTTTTATTGTGGGTACCACTTGGTTTTGGGATGGTCTTCCTTGCAAGAGCATCGGAGAAGTTGTGCTTAGTAAACCTCCTTGAAGAGGAGAGGTTTCTTTGATACCTTGTGATGGTGTAACTGAGGTTTGAAAGATTGGTAGTCTCACAATGTCTGATGATACACCAGAGCGTAGAGCTTGTGAGAGACCAGACACACTCATTGGTGTTCTTGTGCTCAGTTGTTGATTGATTTGATCAGAAAGTCCAACTTTTGGTGAGGGTAGCCTGACTGGTGTTACCAATCTAATTCCTTGCACAACTGAAGGAACGGTAACAGGAGTTGAAGTGTTTAGACCTCGAGGAACGGGGGAAGCAGAACTTAAGCCTTGCATCCCTCCAGGACAAGAGTTGATGAGCAGAACATGGCTGCCAGGTGCAAGTCCTTGAGAAGGTACAACAAATCTGGTGTTATTGATCAGGAGTTGAGTTCCAGGGGCAAGTGGGGCAGTGGTATTAATCACTATTTTCTCCTGGACACTCTTGGCGGTAGAGGTCGGAGGTCGGAGCCCAGAGGTCATGACCACTGGACTCAATGCAAGAGGACTGGATAGTCCAGAAGTTGTTGTCTTGACCAGTGAACGTGAAGTGCAAAGGGATGTGATCATTGGTGTCTTATCAATGTTAACATCAACTGGTAATGTAGTGTGTTTGTTAATAAGGCTTCCTGAATAAGAGGAAGATATAGTCGGTTTACAGTGCAGAGCATTTAATGTTGAAATCGATGAAGGTACATCCGGTTTTACAACTGATAAAAGTGCAGAAGAAGCCATGTGGCCGGTGCCTAGCGTTGAAAACGTGAGAGTTTTCCCATCAACAGTCCCAGGTACTTTCAGAGAACTTTCTGACAGATTTCCGCTTGCAACCAAACAGGTCTTTTGTCCAATCTGTAGTCCACTTGAAGTTGACGTCGCTGGAACTCTGGAGACGATCACGGGTGTAGTTTTCACAGAGGCTTCGGTTGCTGACGGCATATTCTTATTTGTACCGAGTATTCCTGACATCAACCCTGGGACACTGAAACTTTGGATGCTTGTACCAACAGAAGTGCAGGATAAAGTTGTCCCCAACTTGGGAATGACCTTCAACGCTGGTGTACTAGTAGAGGATATGTTGACGTCTGAAGATGACGCCTCATTTTGAATATTAAGTGCTGAGTTACTTATAAACATGACTCTTGATCCAGGCAAAGTACAGGTTGCTGTAGTAGTGCTGACCTTTGATGCTGGCAAAGGAATATTCGGTGAAGGCGAGACGAGGAAAACCTTTTGGAAAGCAGTTCGGCCTCCTGGTAGAGGCCTTTTTTGTAAAGGTTTCGTTCCACATTTGGAGACTGTATCCTCCTGAAAGCCTTGGATGTCTTTGCTCGTGGACAGGATTGGAGATTTACCAGGGATCGATGTTTTGGCCAAATCACTGCTATTCTGATTCAGGGTTGATTGAGGGACAGTTCTGGGCACGAAAGTCGATGAGCTGACTCTGTTCGACTGAGGAATGACTCCAAGTAAAGAATTAGCAGAAACGGTGGCCGAAACCGCTTGCGTAATGGACGTGGAAGATTTCGACACGAGAAAGGCTTGGAGTTGTGGCGATATGGTAAAAACAGGACTTGGAGGCAATGACCCCGTTCCACTCTCAGACGTCTGAACCTTTACCACCCCAGTGTTCCCTCCTCTCGTAGTGACAAGGATAGACTGCGAGTCTCTAATGCACACTGTCCGGAGCTCCTGGTTAGCGTCAGGTTTGGTCGGACCCCTACTATCTGATTTATTTACGACCACTTTTGGCTCAGGAGTCTTTTTAGGAATGGCAGAACCTCCAGAAACACTCTTTAAAGTCCTTAAATTGGGAATAACTACAGCAGATGGTGTTCTGGCAGTGCTGGTGTCTTTTAATGGTGCCACTTGCTGAACAGGAACCCTGTTTTCCGGTATGGTGAAGCCTGAAACATTGGACAAGTATGTTGCGGTCTTAGGGAGAGATGTAGACGCCTTATTCTCAGCGCTTTGAATCAGTAGATTTGAAGGCAGTATAACAACTTGTTGCATTGATTTTTGATCTGTTATTGTCTGTGCAGAAGTGATTCCTTTCCTGAGAAGCCCAACGCCACCTGCCGTCTTGTAAACCACTTGATCAGTACTTTCAGTTGTCAAAGTAGTTTCAGGTTCAGTTGGCGAACAGGCAGTTGATAATCGGATAGGCGGCAGAGCTACAGAAGTCTTGTTGTTATCCCGCAGAATCTGAGCCATCACTGGAGATTTAGGATGACTTATTAAGGTCACTTTGTTTCCAACACTCTTGGCCAGAAGTGCCTGGATGGGTTTGCAAGAACCCTGATAACCACTCAAAGGCTGAGGCAATGCTAACACTTGTGGGATCCCTGTTGCTTGTTCCCTGGATGCAGCTTGCACATTACCTTCTGATGTTAAAGAGCTCTCTGGGTCTGTTTTGCCTTTTTTGCACAGGGTCAGCTCATCGCTGATTGCACCGCTTTGGCGACGTCTTGAGCTGCGTGTGAAGGGTCCAGAATCTGACAACTGCATGACAATTTCAGGTCTGTCAACTTGGCATCTTGATTCGTGATTTCCTAGATGATTTACACTCTCTGCAAAAAGAAAGCATGGATCAGTCCAAACAAATATCCAGGGATTGTACAGATACTGTCAAATGAAATTCCAGCACTACTTATTTCTTTTTCCAAGTACTACATTCAGAGATCTCATTTATCAAACAATATCCTTCATTATATTTTAAATAAAAAAAAGTAAATAGATAAATAAAAATAAGCTAATAAAACAAAAAGACATAAAGTGCAGCACGTGCAGTGACTGGTAACTTTAACCATTGAAAGGACACTATGACAGATTGACCTGAAGAATGAAAGCTATATCATGTACTTGGATATTAATGAGCAATATCACACTCATAGCCGAGCGAAATGCCTCTATATCAGACGGACTGCAGCTTTAATACTGTGTGAAAAGATCAATAAAATTCAAAATAAATTCCCATATAATGTCTTTCAATAATTCAAGCACTTTTCAAGAACTTCTTAATAAATACGGCTGTTCTAAAGGGTTTTCCAGGACTTGCATTTCAAAAACTTCAGAAGGGTTTCTGCAGGTTTCACAAAGTCAAATTTAAGACTTTTTAAGACATTTCATTATGAATACAATTTAAGACCTATATCACGGAAAAAAAAATGTACAAAGAAAACGCAGAGTCTCAAAATTATTCGCAAAGTGATTTAATTTATTCAAACTGAACATTCGTCGAAAATCAGCACAAATGGTCCCGTGATTTTGGAAATTAGTTATGTTTCTGTTTTAATAAAATCCCTATTCCAAAACACGTAATTTAGGCCATTTTATCTTTCCCGCACATGAAGGATTTAGCAATGTCAGAGTCCGGAAACATCGTTTGAAACAATGTAGGACAATGTCTTGTCACCGTGTGGAGAACCTAGAGCACCTCCGCTTTTAGGTTTGGCAAAATCCAAATCAGCAAAATCTAATCCAAACTTCAGATTTTTTATGCCAAGTATCGCTAAAATTTCACTTCCCCATAGCTGAATAAAATATGTTCTATGTCTGTCTGTGGTATCTGAGATACACGCCAATAACACAAAACCTCAAAACTGATTGTCTGTTGCATGTGGGTCTATTTTGTAATCAGAATACAGCGAATTATATTTGAACAAGCAAAATAAAGAACTACAACCACAGAATAAAAAAATCATTCCAAAGCGCTGCAGGAGCATTTCAATGAGATTTACATGGACGTAGGGCTGAACGATTAATTGCATTTGCCATAAAATCGCGATATGATGAAACGCGATTTTGTAATCGCAAGAGCTGCGATAACACTGGTCACGTGACACGCGAGAGAAACGCAGTCTGCAAGATAAAGCATCAACTTGCCACGCTACGCAGTCTGGTGTTCAGAAAAGAACAGTTTATTTTTAATGCATGTGATAGTGTTATTTATTCTCTCCTCTCAACAATCCTGGATCGATTCAGAGAATGTCAGAATCGAGTATGAGCTTAGTTTTTAAACACAGATGCGTGATGACGCTGCGCGTGCTTTAGAAACGAACAGTGTTCTAAATCCGCTTGCTTCTATTTTCTCGCTCTCTCGCTCCCTCACTCACACACACGACACCGCTCGAAACTAAGAAAAAAGAAAAAAAAAAAAAAAATCACAGGACAGGTTAATAACTTTTAAAGGCTGGCTCTATTTATCATCAAAACAAAAATAAATGACAGCTAGATTAGATGGATGAGGGCGAGGGTGATCCTCGCTCCGATGCGGGACAACATGTCATCAAACTGGGCGCGGGACAGGCGGAAGTACCGCTGACAGCGGCCGTCATCCAGCGCAGCTCTTGGAGCGAGCAAATGGTGAAACTCGCCAAACGGTTCGGCTCTGAAGGGTCCGGTCACGGTGGACACAAATATACGGCGACGATGATCCCCACGCCGCTGTTCTGCTCTCCAGAGTAAATACAGAGCGGTAACTCTCTTGATGAATGCTCGGTCGACATAAAAACAATGGCCGCCAACGGATTTCGATTCTGACGCGCGTAAATTTCGCTTCAAACTTTTGTTTTTACGCGCGCCAGGCGCGAATTTGACGCGCGATTCGCGTCCGGTGTGAACGTAGCATTATAACGTTACACTTGCAGTGCGCGTTCTTTCCCGCGGGAATTTTCTTTACAAATGCTTCACAGAGGCATTATTTATGTCTTTTGGAATGCAGTTGGCTTATATATTAAAACCATGAAAATCACTGAGAAGGCTGCTTTCATTTTAAAATACTAACGCGTGCTTTGTGAAGAGCGCTCGTGCATGCGGCCGTGAGCGACTCATGGTTAAATGTACTTGCATGTCAAAATGCTTTTATGACGCGAAATTAATGTAAACATGGTCAGTTATATCTTAAACCAACAGGACAAACCACATTTACAATTTCAAAAGAGATATGTGCATTAGTGTGAATGCAGCTTAACGCATCTAAACTGAGGGGAAAATCACTCCAGCTCTTGAATGAAAAACATTCAGACAGCCTACTTTTAAATAATGAGACCACTCTTTGTTTATTGCTTGTAATGTTTTTTTTTTGTTTCTCTTTATTTACTAGCTTTTATATTTTTAAGCTATATATATTTATATAGCCTATTTAAAATTCTTAACATGTAATTGGTTTAATTAAATGTTTTTTATATATTTATTTTTTAAAGTATGTGTTTTTACACATGTAATTAAATACATATTTTAAGAGTTGTTAAAATTAATTAATAAGAAAAAAAGTAGATCGGATCATGAGCTATCTAAAGATTCCCATCCCTAATGTACAATGATTTATTGCTTGTCTTTGTCGACTAATACAGAAGGTAAATAACTTTTTTTTTAAATCACATATTAAATCGCAATCGAAAAATTGGTTAAAAAAAAAAAAATCCCAATTAGATTATTTTCCAAAATCGTTCAGCCCTACATGGACGTAAGAAAATTAAGACGCGTTTAAAATGATTTAAGACCTAGAACACAATACTTCAGCAAATTTAAGACTTTTTAAGGCCTTAAGTTGTGATTTTGAAATGTTTGACTTTTTTAGACTTAAGACCCCACAGAAACCCTGTTCAAGTACTTTGAAGGGGTTTCACAAGATGTAAAATAAGTCTCTGATATTCCCAGAGTGTGGGTGTGTGAAGTTTCAGCTCAAAATACCCCACAGATATTTTTTATAGTATGTTAAAAGCCGTAAAAAGTGATTTCTGTAAAATATCTCTTTGCTCTGAACTCTGAGCGTCTTATCTTTGCAGAAGGTGTTTGTGCTCAAACAGCAACATTACACACTAACTACAGTCAGAAAAGTCTATGCAATGGTTAAATGAGCATCTTTCCCCTGGCTCACCGGTTGCTGGCTCAGAGTGGCCCTCCACAGCTCCAACTCCCCCATCCTGCATGCGTCCGGTCTCTGCAGAGAGCGAGCCATCTTGACACACACACGTCTCCACGCGCTCCCTGGTGAACTGCTCATATTCGGGGTGCTTTCTGAAGTCGTCACATTCCTTTTTCAAGCGCGCTCTGTTGAGGACAAAGACAGGGATGACTTCACAGAGCTGTTACCAGGAACACATCGCCTCAAGGAGGAGGGAGAGCACGCAGTGAAGTGTGTCATCGCAGTACGACGGAAAACTCTTGCTTTTTCCCAAGAGTGTCTCGTTTCCCTTTTTTAAATGTTTTCCTTTTATTTCTATAGATGCCTTAGTTATCTATATTATATATGTAGACACTATCTACCTGTAAATCATCCACCTCTGACATTATGTATATAGTTCAATTTATTTTTTTATTCTATTATTATTCCTCATGTATGTGTATCTGTTTCTTGTCAAGTATATTTATATAGCGTTTTTCACAATATAGATTGCATCAAAGCAGCTTCACAGTGTCAATCAAAACATAATAACAATGTTCATTTCTTAGTGGAAACAAACATCCACGTTTGGTAGAGCTGATCAATGGTATTAATGTGTGTATCCGTGTTATGTGTTATCAGTTGTGTTGTGAATTGTTCAGTGAAAGCTTGTCAGTGCTAATGCTGTGTGTAAGAATAACACACAGTATCGGTCAAAAGAGTGAAAGACTGAAACCCGATGTCAGGATTCTCAATAGTGGCTCGATAAGTACATAAAACGTATTTTATTCAGCTATGGGGAAGTGGAATTGCACAGATTGAAAATGTCCCATCTATCATCATGAACGTGTGTGTGTCACTAGCACACTGACGTTCACAGAACCGGAACGACACTAGATAACAGAGGCACAGACCTGTTCCTCTGGAAGGCCTTGACGAGTTTGGGTTCCCATGGCAACAGCTCGTTTAGCAGCCGGATTAGTGTGACGTGCAACTCTTTCACAGCGGATCTTCTGTTCGGCCGTCGGTCCTGGAATAAACACACACACACGTTTACAAGTCTCTATAGTTACTCTGGGTTTGGGAAATAACAAATTCATAAAATTTCACATTAAAAGTGTCTGAGAGAATGTGTGTATGAGAGAGTGTGAGTGTGTGTGCATATGTGGGAGAGAAAGAGAGAGAGTGAGTATGTGTATGTGAAAGAGTGTGAGAGTATGTGCGAGTATATGTGTGTGTGGGACAGAATGAGTTTGAGAGTGTGTGTGTGGGTGTGTTTAAATGATTGAGAGACCATGTGTGTGTGTGTGTGTGTGAGAGGTGAGAGAGAGTGTGTATGTCAGTGAGTGTGTGTGTGTGCACAGTGTTTGTGAGTGTGTGTGATCCCTCTCTTACTAACAGATCTCTTTTTGCCGCCATTTAGTTGTTGTAGCTGATCTTGTGTTTTGCTGATCAGGACTCGGAGATCATCCAGACTGGAGCAGATCAACTACAGGAACAAAAAGAAGAAGCACATCACACCACTGTCATTCACATTGCGGGGGCGGAGAGATCTCTAATGTTTCTGAGAGTCTCTTCTGCTCTCCAAAGCTTGAGATTTATCAGGCCATAATTGCTGGCCACTTCTTGTCATCCACAATCCAAAGATGGTCAGATATTGCGTAGGGATCTGGCAAGATCTCACCATTGCTGAGAGTAAGTTTATTTAATGTAATCGCCACGGTCGGAGGTAGGCTACTAAGGCTTCCCGCATAATCCATCATCAAATCTTTGATTTACAGTAAAGTATTGTTATATGTGTGCAGTTATATGTTGCAGGTCGTAAACTAACAAGGTCAACTTATATAAAAGCAAATTCGGGCTCTATAGAGGCTATTACATTACTAACTAGTCTAACATGATAATTCATACATGCATCACAGTATGTCCGGATTTTGATTCGTGTTACATTAATATGAAACAAAAACAAACAGATCCAACTCTGAAATTGCAAGTCAAAAAGAACTGACAAACAATGCAAAACCTACGTTAATTACTATGTTATTTTACAGAACTCTGTATACAGATAGCGTTTTTTGCCCCCTGGATGCGCACGCATCCGGGATTGTTTGTATACAGGAAACCCGTGCTATGATGTTCGCCAGCGTCATATGTGACGTCACGAAATGGGCGTGGGCGCGAACTGGTTGGCAGAAAGCACAAAAACATACGCAGCAGTCTATGTGTTATGTCAGCAAATGATAATTCTTTGTACGAAGAAGCTAAAAGGAGATATAAGGTAAAGTTTTTATATAACCAGGGTTCATGTTCTCTGCCTGATCCAGATCACCCGAGTGAGAACTGGCCTGAAAAGCCCGAACACATGGCCAGATTTGACATTCAACGACATCTACCTGTATCTCATCACATGCCATCTATGTTTACCAGAGAGTCAATGAAGGTGTACAAATCTTTAGATGCCTATAAGTCATAATTACGAATATTACTTGTGTTAACTAAGGATAACTGGTATATTTGTTACAACTAGAGTAAAATAGAGGTGTAATTTGTCCAAGGGCTGTATTTTGAATCAAAATGATCTTACCTCTGATATATAACATTGGTCAACATTAGGGATCGACCGATATGGATTTTTTAGTGCCGATACCGATACCGATTTTTTTCCCATCAGCCTTAGCCGATGACCGATACGGGCTGCCGATTTTCTTGAGCCGATATTTGGAGCCGATACATTTTGCTCCCTCAATTTACATCTTAAAAATAACATGATGTTAACAAATGTTACAGGTCTCAATTTAATAAAAGTAACATTTAACTAACTTCAAAAATTAATATTTAACAAATAGTAAAAACATGTGAGGTAGAACAAGAACAAGTAGATAAACAATTTAAAAAATATTAAAAACATGAAGTAGAACAAAAAAAGTTCAGTGCTGAAAATGAATATTTAAGCATAAATTAAATAATTACACTATTGCACAGAGTAGCAACCAGCATAATAAAGTGCACAGTGCACACTGTACTTCATTTTAAAAGAAACGAACTATGTACTGCATGGTTTCAATTTTCCTACATAAAATAAAATGAGCATGTCTAGTCTCTAATATTACTGCGATTGCGAGGGAGACAAACTCCACACGCCCCAAACCTCAGCCAGGTGAGCGCTGAATAAATCTCCCACAAAAAGCACAGAATAACGTTGGCATTCCTTAATCCTATGACCAGAGTTCGTTACCGTATGCATACTAGGGCTGTCAAAATTGCTCAAATGGCGTTTGCATATTCCCTCTAAAAAACATATTCGAACATCCCGTTGCGCGTTTTGTTGTTGACGCGCATTACATCAATAACAGGACACATTAATAAAAAGAGACATAACTACTAGTATTAGATGGTTTATTTGAGTTTAAACATATTTGACAACGTATTAAAAAGCAAGTAAATCAACTAATGGCCAAGACCGCAGAGCTCACTCTGTCTCGCCCTGGACCTCGCTCAGGCACTCTCTCTCTCTCTCTCGCCCTCACGGTCTCTGCGCGTCGGTTAAATGAACAACAAACAAATGTTGAGTGCTAAACAAGAGTTTTGTGCAAGCAATTTAAGGTTGCGAGTCGCGACTCTTGTCCCAAATATAGCAGGCTTCAGTTCATTCAGTGATTGAAGTTTCACAGTATAGAACCGACAGTGAGCGCTCCGAGCGAGCTGTGCAGCTGTGGTAACGTTATTAGTCTGCAACCGCGGGCGTGTTTTTCCACATTCAAATATTAATTTTCACCTTCAAAATTAATAGATATTCGAATGTAGAATATTCATAGACAGTCCTAATGCATACTGAACGGATAACCTACACCTCAACTATTTGCAGCTTCTTAATACAATGGCAAGCAGTTAAGTTTTATAGACGAGGCATTCGCGTTTTCCATTTGGACCCACAAACTTGCTTAGTTGCAAGCACATAACAGTTATAGGGCGACGTGTTTCCATTTTCAAAGTGTTTGACAATATTTCAGGAGTCAAACATTTAAAAGATCCTTTGAAAGTTTAAGTTACCATTCTCGTGAAGAGCAGGTTGCACTGATGCACTCTGCTAGTGGAGGAGGGCGGGGCACGTGAACTGCAGCATCTCCAGCAGCACGGAGCTGCCCGTGGCCGCCTGTCTATAAATAACGGCGGGAAGAAAAAAAAACTATCGGCGAACGCGCAGCGGTGTATCGGCCGATTCCGATACACGTAAAAACCTCAAATATCGGCCCGATATATCGGCCGGCCGATATATCGGTCGATTACTAGTCAACATATACGTAAAAATGTATCAAAGAAAATACAATAATTTGCCCTTAATCTATAAGGGTATGTGTACACAGATGATACACCATACAGTACCCAATCTTTGGGTTAAATTATGACTTTACAATACTGTGCGGCAAACGGCCATTACTTTCCTGCCAACCAGAGCACATGTAACCGCGTCGTGAAGTCACAGGCGAAGATCCCTATATGTCCTACCTGTTAGACAGTTCATTTTTATCCAGACATCAATGGCTTATTGATCATTATAGGTGTTATCAATCATTTAGTTGTTATTGCTAATTTCAGAATTATCACTAATCTGTGTGTGCATTTGGTTTAGAACCAAACAAGTTGACTCATGAAACCATTTGTTTATTATATCGCAATCACACATCACAACCGCAATATTGACCTCAATAATCGAAATATGTCATTTTCCCCAAATCGTGCAGCCCTAGATAAAATTATAAATCTTTACCTGGACACGTGACTTTTGTGCATGGACAAGTGAAACATAAATTTACTTGTCCGAAGGACAAGTGCCTCAAAAAGTTCATGTCAAGCCCTGACACTTTAGGACAATAATGTTAACTAGTTTTTAGTCCATTGAGTGCAAGGATAAATTAATACCTAATACATTAATACAAAATATACAAATTAAGTAAAATAAAAGGTATAACAGCTTATCTTGCCTTATGCGCTATTTTTCCTCCTCAGTTTCCCACAAATAAACAAGGAGTAAGCACCTTTAGCGTTAGAAATTATTACAAATGCGCATACACATATTGAATTGCAGCATACTTCAATTGGCCCAATAGCAGCATAACTCGTATAAGACCAACTTGTGATACAGTACTCAACTCAATATGAGCCAGTATCATAGAATGCAAGAACGTGATCGTTACTGTATCCATTAATGATGAAAGAATCTGTTTAAATTTCCGTATATTAACATTTACAGTTTTCAGGACTTTTTTGACATATTTTTTTAAAAGATAATTTCGAATCAGAACTCCCAGATACCTAAATCACTCAACATTAATTAATTCTTGTCCACCCAAGCAAACTTTTACTTTGGCCACAGTTGTTTTAGGTTTACTAAAAAACATTGATACAGTCTTTTTAACATTTAGAATCATTCAGCCATTTTTGCAAATCATTTAAAGCAAATGAAAGCTGATGGGCTGCATCATCAGCAGTTTGGGCATGTGTAAAAATTACCGTATCATCAGCAAACATACTTGTGTCGACATTTTTGCACACATTAGGCAATCCTGGGTGAATAACTACCGAATTTAGGAGCAACTCCTAAAAATAATGGGTGTGTCACTCCTAACTTTAGGACTCGCAATTTTTTCACTAAGAGTAATTCATGAAACATTTTAGCCCTAAAAGTAGCACCTAAGTCTGGGACAGCTTAAAAGTCGTCGAGAGGACTCCTAACTCATTCACCCAGGACTGTAACTGCACACCAGCGCCTCTTGCAGTCGTCCAGGTCCGAGACACAAGTGGGAATACGGTATTGATCTGCAAAAAAATCCTCTCCCATTCACACACTTAGTTTTGCTTGATATCCCAGTGCTGAATTTTCCTTTTATTATGTTTTCTTTTTTTTTCAGCACCAACTGGGCCAGCAGCAGTAACTGATCCTGCATCCAGTTGGGCTTTCTTTTCCGTTTTGGCGAGTTCATAATTCCCCCGTCATTCAACTATTACATTACTTCAAAAAGAGCAACATTTCCTTGCTTTAAGTAGTCTATTTAGGCAGGATGTGAATCGGGAACATCTCAAATATAATGTTAGATCAGTGGTCAGACGTACAGTTAGTTTTTTTTTCTCATCAAAACTGAATAGCCTATGTTCATTAGTGCTTACAGCGTATTTCAAGCATGGACAGGTTTTATTTTGTTATTTCACCGGAATGAATAGTCTCCGCAATGGCGATAGATTGAAACTTCACTCGCGCGTCGGAGTAAAAACATAGCACGACTCTCACAGCGCTTCGTCCATACAACTGATAACAGCGGACACGAGCCTCAGCTTGTGATTTGTGAAAACAGATTTTAGCGCTAGATCTCTTATTTAATAGCAAACTAAATTAATGATCTGCTAGTTAACTGGAGATGTTTTATTTATTTGTATCCATGCCTCAATGTTTAAAAAAGTTAATGTGTGTGATAGTAAAAAACAATTGGTGTTGATTGACGCCAATCGGACGTTCATGTTTTTTTCCATCTATTTGAAAGTTAGGCTAATAATAGCATGTTGCATTCTATACGGCCTGATTATGTAATTTTTTTTAGTTACATAGCCTGCCTCCAGTGTTCCTCAACTTGACAAATTAAGAGGCGATAAATGACCAGCATATCAAAATGTCCGTAAAATGAGTGACCGGCACCATTTTTTCTAGCGGAAACTCTGGCACAAACATGTCATTATTTATGCATTTCGATGACATTACTATTATTATTTTGTGTAGGACACAGACAAATTTAGACGCTGTAATTCCATAATTTGTTGCGTCTGTGTTATGTTCCGCATGATGGCCCTGTGTCGAGTAGATCTGAAACGCGTTGTGAAAAACTTTTAAGAGAAAACTCCTAGCTAAAATATTTTAATGCGATTTAGCATTAAAGTGTAATTTATTCCTGTGATCAAAGATGAATTTTCAGCATCATTACTCCAGTCTTCAGTGTCACATGATCCTTCAGAAATCACGCTAATATGATGATCTAATGATCAAGAAACATTTATGATTATTAGGTAATATTTTTGTGGAAATGATTATTTTTTCATGATTCTTTGATGAATATAAAGTTTGAATATTTGAAATAGAATCTTTTGTAAAATTATAAATGTCTTTACTGTCACTTTTGATCAATTTAATGCATCCTTGATGAAAAAGTATTCATTTGTATAAATTTGACCAAATTCTAATCTGCGGCCCCTATTTGAATCGAGATCAGAATCAACATCAAAAATGTTTTAAGATGCACAAACGATTCCTCAAAAATAACATTTTCAAAACATTTTAAAGACATAAAACATATAAAGACATGTTTTGCATTTACTTTCATTCATTTAGCAGACATTTTTTTTATTCAAAGTGACTCACAAATAAGTAATATATTCACTTATTAGTTTGAAATAAAGATTTTCATATTCATATTTCATGAGTGTTTTCCAGTGTGCGTGTAAGCTGACCTGAAACGAGGGTCCTGATTGGAAAAGAGCAGATCCCGCTGGTCTCCTCAACAGTTTCCCATCAGCCCTGTTCCCTGATGATGGAGAAACACCAAGTTTATTTATTTATCCTTTATTTAACCATTAAATCCCATCGAGAGATCACTCTCTCCTCCAGACGCCTGGTCGAGACACAGATTTAACCACACAAGACAATACTAGTAAAATCAAGAAAAGCACTTACTAGGCTCCTTTAAAATCAACCGAATGTGTGATCGAGATCCAGTAAAATAACTATTTGTTCACATGCACAACTTTCTTTCCGATTGATGAATCTGAATGTAACATGAACGCTGAACATGTGATCAGGTTACGCTATTTTAACATCATTGCGCTATTTCTACGTCATTGCAACATCACTACACTATTTCTACATCATTACGCTGTTTCTATGCCATTATGCTATTTCTATGTCATGACATATTAGTAAATGTTGAAATAAATATTAACTAAGATTAATAGATGCTGTAGAAGTATTGTTCATTCTTAGTTTGTGTTAACCAAGGTAAGTCAACTAATGAACTCATAGTAAAGTGTTATAGTTTCATTTAGTCAACATGATGTGAAAGTGTGTATTATTTACCCAGTTTCCGTCTTTTCCTCTGGTCTTTTTTCTTCACGGCTGTAGCTGCTCTCGTCATGCTGCTTTTAGCCGTTCGCTTCTTCAAGCTCAGTTTGGGTTTCTTCAAGTCTTTTTTCCTCTGTCTCTTCTTCTTCTGGAGTTGTGATTGGTCCTCACAGGTCATGTGATTTGCATCTTTTTCAGGACTTCTGTGACTATTCAGAGCGGATGCAACTCCATTATATAGACTCTCTCCCACTCCGAAGCTCGGCTCGCACACGTCCTCATCCTCTTCTTTTAACCGCTCCTCCTCGGTGAACGCTCCTCGAACACTTCCAGAGTCCAGAGACCATGAGAAGAAGCTGGAGGAACATTTCTGATCCGGATCCTCCCCGTCGGCGAGCGAATCTTCCTTCCATGCGTTCAGCTCCTTCATCACATCTGTGGACAGACGCAGATCGTTCTTCAAGCTTCACTTCAAACGCAAATTCGAAATTAAATTAGCTTAACTACCATAACTAAATATATAATTGAATAAAATTAATAATAAATATAGCTGCAAGCAGCAATTATACGTAACGATATGCCACATTCCGCCCTCAATCTAATGAAACCACTTTTATGATTTTTTTGGCAAACCGTTCAAAAGTTATAAGCAGCTCCCTCTCTCCAGCCGATTTAACACACGTTTTGGTTGTGCCCCCGTCTACATCAATATTGGTCATCTGTTTTTCAAACTTCATCCGAAGTTATAAAAATTCTAATTAAGCCCTGTCCGTTGATTGCAATATTTGGAATTCCAAAGGAGAGCTTAACTTTAACCTGAGACCAATCGGACATTATTGCTTTTACATCACTTCTTGCTCGTTGTAGAATCTTATTGGTTTGGACATCCGCTACTCCACCCACCAGCGGTGGCCGCATGGTTAAGGGAGGTTTTATTTTTTATTAAACTGGAAAAAGTTAAATTCACGTTGAAAGGGTCAGTTCAGAAATTTTACTTAAAATGGCAACCCTTTGTCACATGTTTTCAGAATCTTAAAAGAATTGCATGAAGCTTGAGACAACTTTTTATTTTATATTCTACCTTTTCTTATCTCTATTTCCTTTTTTTCTTCTTTTTTTTTTCTCGGTTGTGGTGGCAAAGAGTAGCCTGATTGACAATTGTGATACTGTGAGTCTAAATCTTTGTAAACCAACTGGGGTCGAAATATGGACATGCAGTTGTGTGCTTGTTTTTCAGTTGTGTGCTTGTTTTCAGTGTGTAGATGCTTTAACTGTTTTGAAGAGCTGTGTAACAATTGAAAAAGAAAAGCTGTTTTTCCAGAATGTTATTAATTTATGGGGGGCGGGAAGGGTGGGACAACTATGTTAGGAGGGGTATTACTAAGCAATTGTTTTTTGTAGGGGGGGAGGGGGGGGGTTATAAGGTTTTGGTAGCTTAAGATAAAAAAATGAAACTGGAGAACTATTTCACTTCTTGTCAAATGTAACATCCTTCAGCCTCCAATAAAAGATTTACAGCAAAAGTTATAAGAAAAAATATTCATAATTTTTTCGTATCTTCGGCCCAGTAGGTGGCGCAGCTCCAAAACGCAGCATGGAACCTCAGGTCATGCTTGATGACTTTGGTCTAATGCAGGGCTATTCAATTGGCGGCACGCGGGCCAAGTGTGGCCAGCCAATCATCTCCATGCGCTCCAACCTCCCCCTCCTATTTTCTGGTGGTGCGGCTAAATTTGGTTTGATATGCGCGTGGCCGCAGTGGCGCGTGCAGCTGGATGACTATTGAGAGCGAGGAGTCACATGCCGATTTGGGCAGGGTCTGAGCCGGTCGGCCATGATGGTTGGAGACGCTATCGGTTGCCAGGGGCGACGCCTTCAGAACTTCATAGGGAGACAGCGCAGCACAGCATTTGTTTACATTTTAGCGATATACACCACGGCAGTTTCTTTGGAATATATAGGGGGAAGAAGGTAGAGAAATGAAAGGGGTTCTATCGGGAGAGACTAAATATCAATGCTAGCCAGTTTTATTTAGAAAAACTGCTTGTCAATAAACTGACAGCAGCAACAGGAGCAAAGAATGATTTCAAAAGGAACATTTCAGCACAGTTCATATTTTATTTAACACAGACGAACGAAATTAATAGCTACTCTGTTATTCAACTATAGTTGTTTCATTTGTTATAGATATATCTGTACCGTGAAATGTTTTAAAAACATTTTTTTTAATGACATACGACTCGCATTGACGAGAATGTCCGATATGTTCGCTTGACGTTGCACTGCCGGTTGCAAATGCACGTGTATGATGATTCATATCAGATGTATTTCCACATATGAATGAGGCCTGAAACATCAAGTATGATTGAACTCTCGCAGTTTAACGTTACAGGTTTGGGGGTTTCTAAGTCTTGCACCCAGCCGCGGCTGAATTGTTCATAAGCTTCTGAACTCTTCCTTTGCATTGTGTAGCCAGTAACGTTAGGCACTTATACCATAAACCAGGTAATTGACTCAGGGTATGTGAAAGGTGGAATTGCTTCGGGTCTTTCGGCCATTCTGTAGCAGGTCGTATGGGTCCATGTTGTGTTCAAGTCGTTTCTCTATAATGCTGCTTGGTGTTGTAATTTATTCTCTCCCGATAGAGACACTTTCCTTTTGCTTCCCCCTTCTTCATTTGTTCTCAAGAAACTGTTCCTTATCAACAAAAATACAAACAAATATCAAGCTGCTCTCTCTCTCTGCCGCTATTTCTCTCGGTCTCACTGCCGAAGTAACCATGACAACGGATAGCGTATCCAACCAAGATGGCGAATCCTTCCCACAATGCAACGCGGACTGGTACGCGTGACGTCAGCTCCACATTCTCAATACGCACTGTGTGTATGAGCGCTCCAACTGACCAGAGAGAAACGTTTTCAGTCCGAATATTTCAGCAGTTATTATGCGTGTCCCGTATTTCTGTCGACTGAACCAGCGATATTAGGGCTGGGTAATAAATATCGATTTCTCGATATTAATCGATTCTCATTTTTACGAACCGATATCGATTCTTAAGTCTCAAGAATCGATTATTCATCCTGTTTCATTTGAATGAAGGGGATATTGTATCGCGGCTGCGCGCATCAAAAAAAAAAAATCGCAATAATCTTTGTCCTTTGTTACTATTGATATGAAGCAAAGTCTCAGTTTTCAAATTACGTCTACAATTTTCTTTAGAAATTCAAAAACATAAATAGAGTTTTGGCGCTGTGGCGTGAGATCGCTCTGGCGCAGCTGATGAGAAGCAGCAGCGCTGATCTCTCTTCCGGCTTAATAATACCAGTCACACAGCGCGAAATAAAAATGAATGAGCATCTGAAAGTGAGTTAAAAGATAGAGTACAACTTATCGAAATTCGTATCATGTCACATTGATTCGCTCAATCAGCGTTTCAACCGTGGAAAGACGTCAGTTAAACAGCTTGTAATCAATGTATCAATCATATTTACCTCAGAAAACCCACATCAACTCGTTAGTCAGCTAGGAAAAAATAACTACAGAGAGGAGTATTTTGCTAAATATATAGCCACCATTTAAATGTTTATATTTCATATAATCTTCTTATTATAAAAATAAATAAAAGTGTATTTTAAGTGATTCATTCATTATTACCTTCATATTTGAATAAATCTGGCAAGTTTTTTATGACAGCCACCATTTAAATGTTTATATTTCATATAATCTTCTTATTATAAAAATAAATAAAAGTGTAATTTAAGTGATTCATTCATTATTACCTTCATATTAGGCTAATGAAGCCTAGTAGGCTACAACTAGACTCCCATAGTTTACAGCATTAGTTAAGAGATTTGATTCCCTTGAGAAAAAATGCCATTTATTGTAACTGATATCCAAAATAATCGATATTGAATCGAATCGTAATCGAAATCGAATCGAATTGCAAGCTTGTGAATCGAAATCGAATCGAATTGTGAAATTTGTCTCAATACCCAGCCCCAAGCGATATTAATCGTTCGTTGGTTCGATTCCTATTTCCTTTTCATGAATTGGCCAAACGCGCGTGCATAACAGTCGGAAACGATTCGGAATCGTTCACACCGTTCTGTCAGTGAATCATCTGAAGCAGTTTCTCAGTCAGTAAGAACAAATAGAGAACAAAATAGCGCTGGGTTCAGTTGTTTCGTTAGTTTACTTTGAACTAGGCAGCATGGCCCAGTGGATAACGGAACGCAAGCTTAAAGGAGTTGCGTTTACTCCCGGTCCCGGACACTATTATTAAACAGCGTTGCGACATCCATTGAGAAGCGCTTCAATCGGACACTACTCTCTGTTACAAACCACAAATCACTCAAGGATTTTAACTAGTTTTAAAACGGATGAAACAGCCATAACATTCCCAACACTACTGATGAGGTAAATAGCAGGAACATGAACAAAGTTGGAATACTATAAATGCCATAATCACCACCCTTACAAACATTTACCATGAATGTAATAATTTACCATATGGTTTGGGCAGAAATGTGGAATATTTATATTGAATTCTATGTTACAGTCATTTAATTTGCATTAGGGCAATTCCAGCGTTATGGATGTGACATTTGAACTCATAATGACAGGTGAAATGTCTCAGAAATAAAAAACTTCTTACAATATTTACTTTGGAAATGCATATTCTCAGAGCACCCAATCTGGGGAATTGACAGGCAAAATATGTTTTTCTAAAATATATTTAAGCATCCCCAAAAAAGGAAAATATGCATGCGTTATGGATGTGACGGGAAATGACAGTGTTTTTGGTATACTATTCGATTTCCTTAAAAGTCTGTGAACTTTTAAATCCAAAGTATAAATATTGCTATCCACATGATGAAGGGGTCTTAGCTGAACATAAAAATATCAATGTTTAAAATATATATATTTTTATGAAGTGTACTATGAGGAAAACCATCGTTATGGATGTGACAAAAACCTTGTTATGGATGTGACGCATCTGAAATACATAGAATCTGTTTGGAAAATCAACAAACAAACCATCATGGCACTTTTGTTGACTTTTTGTTTTCACATTAGGAAGACTGTCTGAAATGATTCTGAAGACCCCCCCCCCCCCCATTAAGAATTATTTATTTTTTTAGCTTGGATCTTACTAGTGTTGTCACGGTACCAAAATTTCAGTATTCGGTACCGATACCAGTTAAAATTCACGGTTCTCGGTACCAATTTCGGTACCAAAGCTTAGTTTAAATTTACATATATTTAAGTGTTTATCACGGTTACAAGTATGGGAACTGTACATTTGTATTATAAACACTTTAGAAAAAGATTAGATAAAATGACCTAAAATAAACAATAGTATACACTAACACATTTTTAAAGTTGTTTGTAAAGTTTTAATCCATTATTTATTTAATGCACAATGAATTAAGTGA